CATGCTAACAAGCACACCAAAAACCTTCCAAAACGCCACGAAACACACCACAAGCCTCACTGAACGTCTCCTTGCTACCGCGATCTCGCCCACAGGAAGCCGCGACCGCGTGTCAGCAGGGAAAATTGCCGCGTATCCTGTTCGCACCCCGAGGCGGAGTTTGCAAACCGAAGCAAAATTTTGCGGCCGGAGCTGGTCGTAACCCAAAAAGTTCGTTAACAGAAGCGTTTGTAACCCGAAGTTCCACTGTATTGGGATTGCTGCTGCTAAGCGATGCAGTCACGTGACATTTCGCTTTATGACAGCATCACTTAGCGATGGAAATTCTGGTCTCAATTGCTGTCATAACCTGAGGACTACCTGTATTACCTGAAATGCACATCCAGTGCACAATGGATGCAAGTTTTTATTACATAGAGTTTTATTTATCTGTTCCAATTAAATGGACATAGTTTGAAAATCAAGTTTGTTTTTTAAAAAATCACCAAAGTCCAAAAATACAGCAGGACAAACATCTGCCTGGCTTGCTGCACATGATTTAAACAAGCATTTAAATACACGAAAGCATATCCATTTTAAATGTCTGCTGTAAATCTGGTATCAGCCAGGAAATATCTGACGGCAACTCCAATACATGAAGCAAGAGCATTAAAACTATTGTTATCAGAAGTAGCACTACTGAGATCTGTATCATGGACTGTATCCAAATAAAGATTACTGTCCCATACAGTTTTGGAGCGCTCCCACTCACAAATACATATGTAGAAGTCCACCTCTGATATGACATTCCCAGTCCTATTACAGAAATGTGATGAAAGCTGAAGAATTAAAACTTTATAACTACAGTCACGGCATGCCTGTTCTATATGGTAGTTAAAAGTTTAGCCTGCTCAAAGATATAAGCTGTTCAGAGTCCCTTGAGACTGGATCAGCCTGTAACCCCAGTAAATAAGTAAGAAGGAATGTAAGATGAAGTTACAAATATTAATCATAGGAATCAATGGCTATTACCATGATGACAGTGGGACTACCTCTGAAGGCCATCTGCTGGGAGACTAGTGGACTTCCATGTGCAGTTGGTTGGCCACTGTGAGAACAGACTGCTAGACTAGATGGGCCAGAAGGGTCCGATCCAGCAGGGCACTGCTCAGGTTCTTATGTCAAACAATGCTTAAGAGAAGAAAAATGCTGGAATGTACACTCACCAGACTAGATGGGCCAGAAGGGTCCGATCCAGCAGGGCACTGCTCAGGTTCTTATGTCAAACAATGCTTAAGAGAAGAAAAATGCTGGAATGTACACTCACCAGACTAGATGGGCCAGAAGGGTCCGATCCAGCAGGGCACTGCTCAGGTTCTTATGTCAAACAATGCTTAAGAGAAGAAAAATGCTGGAATGTACACTCACCAGTGTGCAGCAAAAGGTCGACAAAGGTCTACATGAAAGTTTTTGAGATCCTTAAATCTGATTGCTGCTTCAATATAAACAAACAGTATCCATAGTGATACTGTTGGTAAACACACGCCTCTCTCTGTTGGAAACAGAAAACAAGCCGAGCATCAATATTAAAAAAAAAAGGAAAAGAAAGAAAAGAAAATCAGACTTCTTAAAATAGCACGTATAATTATGAAGGGGAAAATCCTTTGCTGTGACTGAGCAACACTAAGATCCATTACTCTTTTGAAATTGTATAGAGGCCCAGCATGATGTGGTGGTCAGGGTGTTGGATTGGGAGTGGGAAACCCAGGTTCTAGTCCTCTCTTAGGCACAGAAGCCAGTGGACTGATCTTGGGCCAGTCCCACCCTTTCAGCCCAAGCTCTGCAACAAACCAGGTGAAAAACAAAACAGAACAAAACGCCTTATCACATCATGCACTGATAAACATCGCTAAAAGAACTAAGTAAGTACACTGCAAAAACAAAGAGACATGAAACGATGTAGAAGCACTAATAACAACTACTTTTTTGAAACTGCCTACAGTAAAGCTAATTTTGCCCTGCACTGTTTGGCTCCGGCATCATATATGCTGAAACCGTTATAATATACAGCCAGTCTTGGCCTTGCCTGCTGGGAATTAGGGAAGGGTTTTTTTCAACCTTTCTGGAAAACAAAAGGGTGGTTTACTATAAGGGTACTAATAACTTTGCTACCTAAAGATAAGAAGAAAAAAAAACAAAGCCAGCACCCTGCAAGAATTCTGACCATCAGGACACTTCAGAGCTTGCCATATAATTTACAGTTCATTTGACTGAATCCCAAAGCTTGAGATCTGACATTCTCAATCAACACCTTAAATTTCAAGACTGGAAATTTATTAAACAAATACAGACATCAGGCCTGCATGATGTTTGCTACTGCAAATTACAGAGTGGATTATGAAGTAGGGTGTGTTTTGATGACATAGTTAATCATTGCCAAAGCACAGATGAATAGTTACGCCTCAGTAGTTCCTCCTGAAGCACCATTATGTGCATTCAATACATAGACATTTTATAGAGAAGTATGACGCATAAACACACTCGCCATCTCACTCATAATTTGGAAGAGCTTCTATTTTTTAAACTGTGAAATACCTGATTATTCTGTGGAGCCTTAGCATTTCTACTTTATCACATGCCACACACAGCGCACATGCCCCAAACTCATCAGAAGTCTGACTTTCAAGAGTTGGCAAACTTATTATGTCAACCCTGCCTCTTATACCTCATTGTTGAGATCATGGC